GGGCTTTAAAGAGAAAGCGCGCCAAAACATTTCGGTGCCGTCGTCTCTGCTTTAAAGGTACTGCCGTGCTGGAAGAATTTGACCTCGGAACGTTTGCCCAGCAATGAGAATACTCCCTACAGGAATCTTTGTGCTACTGTTGTGGTGACGTAGACTGGGACGGTAAAGGAATGGAAGAAAACATGTATTATTTTGTTGGTTAAAGACATTGCCATGCGAAATACTTGAGAAAGAATAAAACATGTTGTTCCTTTTTGTAAAACAGATTGACTGACAAATTAAAGGAGCACGACAGGAGGCGAGGTTGAAAACTGAAGTCCTGTTATCTTGTTTTTTCCATAGCATATGATGTGTGTTATTGCCATTCCATGCTACCTGGACCATGGAACATCCACAAGTCAAAAACACTGAATTAAAATCAAATGAGGTAATTACAAATCTCTTGTCTTGACAGATTCTGTCTTGAGTGAAGACTCTTGCAGAATACAATTTACTATACAGGCATGGTAACAAAATAACAAGCAGGCTACTGCTGTGATGAACAACACATCATAGATAAGTTAAGGGCAGGCTCACATTTATCAGAGTGGTCTAGGGCAGCTTCATACCTCAAAATCCAATTACATTTAGAGTCAGTCTAGTGCACTTATCATTTGGAAGCAAACAAGTGGACCCAAATTAAATAAAGAATAAAATAATGGGGAGGACTGTGAATTTGTCTTTCTAAAATAATTTATATGTAGTACCTCACTATACCACTCAGAATCACTTGCTTATACCTGTATGTTGGTCATTTCCAAGTTATAAAATACTTCACAAGTCTGAGTTTGAATGGACATAATCTGCTAAAATAACCTAATGAGTCTTCTACTGTCTGTGTAGTCCCATATCCTGCAAACAGAGAGGAAAGAGACACAATGGCTATTATGCTTACAGTTGTGTAATGAGTAGACATTTAGCTGCCTAAGGTGGCACACAGTAGACAATCAAACAAAGCCTCCACATTGTTGATAAGTGGGAGGAAAACAGACCATTTGGTAAGAAAAACATGCCACACAGTAAAGCAAAAGAAGTCACAATGTAACCCAGAACTGCCTTCACCAACTATACAAAGATGAATTAAATTACTTTGGACTAAAAAGAGGTAAATGTTCAGATTGAAAAGACTTTAAAAGCCTTAAAATAAACTTTTCTAAGAAAACAGTGAGAAATCTGAAAATCCAAAACATACCGACACCTAACTACCATACATTAAAGTTTAAATTGTGAAAAAATCCAAAAATGAACCTGGAAACTATAAGCTGCAGATCACAGTTTACAGGTATATGGATTCTTTCTTGAATATTTGCATCAGAAAAGTCAAGATCTTCCATTTCAAAGGCACTGATTAAAGAGAGACTTGCCCACAACACCCATGGTTTTTGAACACTATTTTAGTACTATATTTTCTATAACAATAAACCATTGTAGCCTATTCAGTATTCAACATTGGTTTGCACGTTAGTTTTACTGTATTGTACTGTGATGACAGGCATTGACATGTGCAAAACTGAAATACAACAGAAAACAACAGAAACGAAGTTACAATGAAAACGTAAGTAATAGGCAATAAGAAAAACAAGCTTAAGACTCTGGGTTATTGGGATTTCAATACTGTCACAATCTTGCCATTAGTTAGACAGTATTCCAGGATAAATAACTGTGACCTCAAGACCAGTCTTACCTCAAGACCTCAAGCCTCACCGTGTCTCGTGAGCACTTTAATTGTTAAGTGATTATCATAGCCTTTAATAAGATACAGATAAAATTTAGATTTCAGATGTGAATGGTGGAAGAATTGCTTCTGTTAACTTAAATGTTCTTTAAGGAGACTCATGAAGTCAGATTTCTGGCATATTACACATTTTTGTTACACAATTTGAAAACAAGGTTTTAAGTGAGATTACATAACTGATTAAGTTTCAGGTTGCACAGATGTACAAATAAGGCTAAACAAAACAAGTTACATGCAACACAATCATGCTTACATATGAGCATAAGAGACACTGAGTATTCATTTAGTACGTTGGATTTTCTAAAGTTCATTTATTATCGGAATAATTGATAATGTTTTTATTGCACATAAAACCTAAGAAAGGTTACAAATGGGAGGAGGTAATTTAGCCCATCTAGCCCATTTGTTGTCTAGTAGTTAATTGAGTTAATGATCTCATCTAGCCATTTCTTGAAAGAAGTGATTCTATCAACTTTGACCAAATGGAAGGTTGGGTAGTTCAAGACACCTACAATTCTCATGTAGTGTCCAACCGTGTCCACTGGTTTGTGTTTCTGTTTACTATAAACTTCCAGTACATTGCCACCCAAGAAAACACTGCCAAATCAATGTCAAAACCAATGTTTTCAAAAAGAAGATATGTGAGGAACAACATAAACTGTTCTCAAATCTAATTTAAAAACTATAACTGATATTAACATTGCATATATAATATCTGACAATAAAAAAAATACTCAAAATACAATACTCACCTTCCTTACTAAATAGTTCTTGATTTTTTCTTTTTTCAGAATTGCCAATTACTGTTATACAGTCCTGGCTTGGAATAGCTAAGTGTGTATTTGATGGTTTGACTCATATTGTAGCTAGAAACCTTCCATCCATACAGATGTTGGAGGACGAAGAAAAGTACCCTATTCACATATCTCTTTACATGCCACATGCAGCAGTCCCATGCAAGAAGTTCAGCAATGATTGGAGAAAAGGCGGGAAACCCTCTAGCAGCTTCAGCCTGCACATCAGCTGGGAAGTTACAGAGGCCACTGTGTTCTCAAGCAGCAGAGAGAGCCCCAGCTGAGTAGTTCCATCTAACTGTCTGCGGCACTTAGCCAGCTGAATGCTACTGCTGGGGAGTCAAAGTTGCCGAGTGATGTGAGGAAGTGGTCATGTAAACAATTTCTTATTTTAAACCAATTCAGTTTTATAAACAGCAATTGTTTAATCTTCAACTTACAGCAAAGACTGCTGTAGCGCATGAGGAGGATGCAGACATGCTCTTGCAACCTGCCACCCATGAAATGGTTTGTCTTTCGATATGATGCAAATTCCATATCATCTGGCAGAAGATTTGATCCTGCCTCCCAGTGATGTCACTGCAAGCCTGCAGGAGCCCAGGAAGTTCTAGGAGTCTGTTTGACCAAGAGATGACAGAGTGCTATCTGACTAATTCCAATCTTCTTTGGGGAATTTATGGTTCATCATAGTTCATAGGGTCAACTGACACTCAATGCTAGCACCTTTACTGGTTGAACTTGTTAGGAGTTCCCTCAAAAGTAAAAAAAGACTGATATATTGGTCAACAATAGTCCTCTGCTCCTTTAAAACACAACTTTCCAAATACACCTATTGTTTTGCTTTTATCTCTAACCAAACCAAGATGGCTTATTTTTTATAACTGTACTTTTGGGGATGAATAATCTCTGTGAATAACAAGAACATTCAAGTCTCCATCTAGCAGAAGCTCTATAGCTAAAGAGAAAACATTAACCCCCCCACCCAGTAGCAGGAATGGCGTAATGCAAAGTGCACCATCACAGGATAAGACATTCTCAGCATCTGTTCATCATACAAGAACTGAGGCAGTGGGGCGACTTCATGAATATTCATAGATCTTCCCTGTTTAATTTTTCTTTGAGGCATCTCAATATTTTGTGGCTACTCCAGCTTTGATAATTTTTTTGCATGGTGTGTTCAGTACTTCAAGACTTTGAACAATAATCATTCCCTTTAAATTTTCTAAAGATTCTCCATCCAGCAAACACAAATAAAGGAATAAACCTCTTGTGAATAATAATAACAACAACAACAACA